CCCCAAAACCCCAAAACCCCAAAACCCCAAAACCCCAAAACCCCAAAACCCCAATCAGCGTAATTCATATTGATTTTATAATATTTTCAATGAAAATGATACGAAAGATACTCTAATGGAGATGAGTCAGGCTTGGAATTCAAGACCCTTTGTAATGCAAGTCAAGAAGCCATCCAAAGAGTGATGGCCATAGCTAGGCAGGACTATGAAGGCAATTACAGAAGGTTCTTCCAGCCCACAGTCAACTGTGACTTCCAAAGTTTAGCATTGAAAATGAGTTATAGGAAAAAAACGAAAGTAGCTCAATCCCTTCCCCTATCGATGTGACAACTCCACAAGCAAATTCAACTTAGCTTCGGAGGAATTTTCAAAGAAACAATAGACTTGAGAGACTTCGAAGTATATTTCAAGGATGGGGACGGAGAGAAATCATTCCTCATCAATGATGAAGACCTCAAAGCAGCCTACAGATGGGCACAGTCTTTTTCCACTGGAATGGTCAAAGTGTGGATAGAGTATAAATATGGCCTTTCAGACGAACAAAAAATAGAAAAATGGCATGAAACTCAATCAAGACAAACAAGAAACCCAGGCTCTGGCAGAACTAAAAAGTGGGATTTCAATGCATTTGAAGACGAAAATAGAGTCATAGTCAGAGATGGGTATGTATATAGAAACCCTCGTAAAATTAAAGGAGGCAAACTTCTGTACTTTTGAGAGGATTACGAAAGACTCGGATGACTAGGCAGATGGATAGTTTACCCGATGGTCTCAGGAGGAGATTTTGGGGAACATAAAAGAGAACACAATATTCCTTCAGAAATGCATCAATGCAATATCCCAGAAGTTAACCCAATGAATCTCCCAAATTCTGAAAATATTTTACATGGAGGAGTCAGAAAATGGACAAGAGTCTACGAAGGTAAAAAAATGCAATGTGCAAATGACTAAGAAAGAGGTTAAGAAATTAATAGCTGCTTTGATTATGAAGAATCCTTCAATGATAGGGTCAGAAATTATCTCTGAAATTAAGTCCTGAGTAAGTCATGCTGATCTTCCACCAAAACGAGAGATCCATTACATCATTCATAAAATAAGAAGAGCCTTAACTCCTGGAGTTGCTGGATATGGACTGATAGATATTGCTAAAATTAAGACTATGAGAGGAACTGCTTTTGGTAGAGAAATATCCCTATCTATGGTGGATCAACTTCCAAGGTTGTTCTTATATCTTTATTCTGATTGGCAAGAAGAAAGAGCAAAAGAATTTGCAAAGCAAGAAACACAACACATTTACATCGATTTAGTAACTAAATCATGTCCGAAAATGTGGAAGATTATAATGTCAATTTCTGTCTTTGAGAAAGATACAGGCCAGTTAGTCCCTCTAGCTCATTCAGTTCTACAGACAAAAAGACAAGAAGGATTTGAGATAGCCATGAAATGGATAAGGGATCAACTAAAGCTTAAACCAAATATCTTCACTATTGATTTTGATGATGAACTACTGAAAGCTACAACAGGAGTTTATGGAAATTCACTAGCCTTGGTACCAAACTTTTACCTCCTAATGAAGAGATTATGGATCATCGCTGTGAAGAATGATTTGAATAAACCAGAAATTTACTCTCATTGCAAAAAGATGATATATCGTCTTTTAACCCTCTGATTTATAGCAAGAGACAATATTTCTAAAGTATACGAAGAAATCAAATCACAATTCTCTCAAAAAGATCCAGGATTTGTTTCATTTTTCCAATGGTATGAGGCTATGTTTATGGAACAAGGTTTGTTCCCTCCAAGAATCTGGTCGTTTTCTCATCGGACAGATCAGATTGAAGATTTCATAATGTGCAATAATGGAATGGAGACTTACCAGCATTACATCCAAACCCAAATGAAGAGTGAGGGACTGAACTTCGCAGCATACACTGAACTAATGGCCAGAATTGAAACACTCAGGAAGAACGACTACGAGACATGCCAAACAAACGTTATCTATGGAGAGAACTCTCAAGACTTAAATTCTCAGAAATCTCAAGCTCCAAAAGAAAGTTTCAAAGGATCAAGATTATGGCCTTCAAGCCGGATCATGAAGTTTATGCATGAAAATAGAGGCACTCTTGAAGCTGATCCAGAGCACCAATACGTCGAAGTTGATGCCATTACTGAGGAATTCGTCAAAGAAAATAATGAAGAATTCTTAGGCTCTCTTGGAAGGCTCCAAAGAAACGATGAAGACAGTGTTAGAGATATTCTTGCACAAGAAAACCTTCATATGAACCTTGAAGAGCTTATCAACCTTAAAAAAGAAGAGAAACAGCAATTAAAGAAGGAAAGAGCTGGCAAATTCGGAGGATATGATCCAAGGATGAAAAGAGAAATCAAGGCTGAAAAGAAAACAGAAGAAAATAAGAGTACACAAGATAGTATTCTTACAGATAATATCTTGCCTGAAAAAATTAAACCTGCAACAATGATGTACGAAAAAGAAAGCTCTCAATCATCATGAGGCCCTAGCCAATTCATGGAAGAGCTAGATATCACTAGAAACAGAGTGGATATTGCTGAAAGAATAATGATGTATGCCGAAGATGACCAAGAAAAGAACCCATTCGATGCGAAATCAACCCAAGGAGTAATTTCAAGCCAAGGTAGCAACAAGTCAGGCCTAAACGATCTGCTAAACGTAATCGAAGCTGATGAGAAGAAGGCGAATTACCGTCTGTAATACAGTAATTTAGATTAAATAAATCCTAAAGGGGTTTTGGGGTTTTGGGGTTTTGGGGTTTTGGGG